AATATCATGAAGTTTTTACTATCATGATATTCATCTATTTATTGTGAAAATACTCCACTACTTTGTGATTGTTATTCACACAAAGATCGAACCGGACTTGAACCAGCATCAGTTGCCTCTACATGGCTGTAGTATAATAATAACGACTCAACGTAGCCCCGCACTAGGGAAACCCTGTATCGCGGGTGCCACGGACACACACATAGACGAGCACAAATTACACCCAAACTCATAAGAGAGAAATAAATGTAGGCCATACAAATATTTCTCCCGGCCCGGGAATCGAACCCGTGACTTCTGCGTGGCCAACCAGCATGGTAACTGTTCGACCACGGAGGCAGTTAATCTGTTTTTTTGTTATTTATATGTTTTTTTTTGTTTGTTTGTATTGTTTTTTTTATTTGTGTGTTTTATTTGTTATGTATATTAAATTAATATTTTATAAAATATAGTTTACTAATAATACTTACCTAACAATGGATATGGGCCTATGCCTCAAATAAGGAATTATAATCTATTAACAATTGCGAGATTAATGTAGTTTATAAGAATAGTGCGAGTTTTAACATTCCTGAAATAACTTTTTAAAGGCGCAAATCCACTTACACTTAGCGGTAGTGTGTGTGTAAGAAAACTGTACTGCATCCACTTACACGTCCCTCACTGCGGAGCTAGAGTGGTTGTATTAATTTTTTACAAGCCGATCAAAAGCCAAAGCAAACGTTTACAGCGGCGAATGTTTGTATCTTCTCATAATAATCTCAATACAGAGTACTAAAAAAACCGACCTCAAAAGTACGTGGAATTACGTATAATTACCAAGTTTTATTGAAAAGGTTGCCGGAAAGAGCGCAAACCCGGAAATAAAATGAAGGCGCTATTCATAAAAATGAATCTTCATGCGTGAACAGCCACCCTTAGAGGTGGATGATTTTCTACAAAATGAAATGGGACCACTATGGAGGTACTCTCTTTCCAACAAAAAAAGAATAATGAAAATCGGTTCACAAATCCGGAGTTATCGTGTAACATACATACAAAAAAAACGTAGAGTCGAATTGAGAACCTGCTCCTTTTTTAAGTCGGTTAAAAATAAAACCAAAGCGTTTTATAAAGATGTCGTACACTTGGTGTAATAAAGCCACATGTGATAAAAATATGAACTGCATGAAACAAATTGTGAAATTTTATAATTCTCCTATTCAAGCATAACAACTTATTCACTATAATTTTTTAGATTTCACATTCAGATTAATTTAATTCTTAAATGTTATATTATTACAGTATAAATTGCACTATATGTTAAAGTATAACAAATTATATTGAGATCGTCATATAAAAATGAAAATTATAAGAAAAATACATAATAATTAGAAAATTAATAATTCGTTAATAATAATGTTGTTGTCATTTAATTACATATCAAAATATCATCCTCCATCAAGGATCGTCATAAGTTGATAATAAATAGACAAAAGTATGTCAATGCGATAAAAATTAAAATAAAATAGAAAACACTCATACACACAGGTCCATAAATTCATTTACGGAGTATAAAGGATTGTCCAAGAAAAGGCCTTTCAGCCGGCGCCTAAGTGTTTCGTCGGATGGTTCAAGTCGGAAAGTAGCGGTAAACGCTCATAGATAAGGTCCGATGACACGCGGGTTTTTTTCTGCAAGTGCCATACGTCGAGGGACTGTTCTCAAACGATCGGTACTGTGGAGTGGGATGCCAGAAACGTTTACAGTAGTAAATGAAGAAAGGCTATTTCTAACGTACATTATAATTTTGTATAAGTAGAGCAAGTAGTGCGTCATTATTTAATTTATTGATATTTTTAAATTTATCGAATGTGACGATGTTTCACCACCATGATATTTAATTATTTTTGTGAAATTACTCCACTAGTTTGTACATAATAAAGTAAGAAAAAATACCTTCGATCCGGCTGGATTCGAACCAACGTCTTCCAGCAAACCGTGCCAAACTCTATACCAACTAAGCAATGAAACGAACTAGCAGATCTTACGAATTGTATTTGTTGCAGATCTTTGTTTTTACTTTTTACATTTTTTGCCGTAGCGCCATCTGTGACACATCTATGAAAGCTTTTCTTCATTTCGTCTGCCACGGTTTACTAGAAGACGTTGGTTCGAAGAAATTTTTTTTAGTATTCGATCCCACAACCTCTATTAAAGAGAAATTATAATAAAATATATTTAAAAACTACAAATTAACTTTTGTACCTATCAAGTCAACTAAATCGAAAACAAAGAAATACTTTACTAACAAGATATATGATCAAATGCAATCTACGTAAAATAAAGAAAAAATTGTCAAACGATGTTACCACTACAACTTTTTAAATTTACAAGCCAATTAAAATAAAAAGTTGGATGCACCCCCGCCTCGCCACCCCTTTAATTATGATTTTTTTTGCATCTTTTAATGATAATAAATTCGCGGAAGCGCCGTACGTTCATGGCACTTATTATTCTGCGCCTGACAGTTATCACCTTAACTTATATGCATATGAAGTTACTTTCCAGTGAACGTGAGAAGTAAATAAGTACGAGATGTAATTTAAGGGATTTCCTTCAACACTTTCATCCAATTATACGACTTATACTTAATAGTCGTGAACATTAAGCATTTCATTATTATTTCATTACGCATTTTATGGACATCATTGATATCAATATTCGTCAAAAAATAACGTATCAACATTTGATTTCATTTGACGCCTACTTTAAAATCTACGCAAGCTTTTCCTGAAAGGAATTTTCCCAATATACATATTAATAAGCATGCGGTTTCCCACATATTGAATTATGGGATGCCCTTTGAAGAGAAATCCGACATAAATCAAACGTTGCAATCACGGTACGGCAATGCAAAATTCTTTTGGTTAACGTTGGTTATTGAAAAAACTACACTCGGTCAATATTTGATGAGAGCCAATTTAAATGTTCGTCCACTTGTAGACATCGCCATAGTTCGCTTCAGCTATTGCTAGTTGCTAGTATTCATATGTGGCGGTGGGGGCACCGCCCGCCAATTTCCCGAAAAAAGAAAAACGAAGAAAAATAAAAATGGCGCTCAGCGCGCGAGTGTGTGCGCGGAAAAAATGCAGATATAATGCGTAATAATAATAATAATAATAGCCGATCGCCGCGCCGGCCGCCTGCCTCCACCCAATTTTCATTCAAATGTACTTGGTTTTTTAAAACTATTTTTTCCGATATTTTTTCGGGATTTCCATTAGCAATGCAGTGCGATAGTTGTGTTCTCCGCGCTGAATAAGTGCATTGTCCACGCACTCTTTGTGCTTTTGTCTAGTCGCTGATAGCAGATTTTGTTAAGCAGACAAGGTACATTTGTGCACAAAGGTTTCTGAAATATAAATTGTAACTTCATATAGCATATTCTCATAATCATCACAACTCAAATAGAAAAACAGTGACTTTGTCTGTTTATAATGACTACTAAGTCATAAAACTTTTATTGCACCTACTTAGTGGCTAAACTGATTTTAAGCTAATCAAGAAAAGGGCGATGCAAGACTGTTTTAAATAACTATAAAAGAAAATTATTGAATGTGTAAAATTAATAACGTGAAATAAAGTAAGCTCAATTTAATAGCTGTAGGCAAAAACTTTGAGGACGCGAACGGGTTAGGAGTAAGTAAATGACGGCGTGACATGTTCAGGTGGACATGTTCGCTGAGTAATTTTGCGAAAAAGTACGAAATTGAAATATGCTCAACATACGGTGTTGTGTAGGACAGAAAAAGCGCGCATTTCCACGACGCCCGGCCAGAATACGACATGACATTCAATTTAAACTCGGACGACGGACCACGCGTTCAATAATTAACATAATGTACTTTTTCTCCTTTTTGCACTTCCCGTTTGACACTCCATCACTCATGGAAATTCCATTTTCAATGCTGCTATATGAGGGGTGGGGTGCGCGGGGTGGTCTTTGCATCCGCGCAATGGACATGGCGGTTTTGGGGTGAGGGGGGTCGAAAAAAAGATTGTTAAAAAGGCTGCCCCCTCCGCGGCGGTGTGTGAGTGCGTGTGGGTAAAAAAGCGCTCACTAATCGATACTATAGATTCTGAGGCAAGTATGTTGCGCCTGCCGAGCCGATTGGTCGAAATCGCTTCGCATTTTTCCGAAGGCCTAACGAAGCGGTGAATGTTTAGTTTTTTGGCGAAATTGCGAGACCTTTTGAGTTGGCCAGTGTGTGTCGTCTTTTTGGTGAGCCGACTCGACGGTCAACACTTGAAAATTAAGGACGCTTATTCGCACTTAACTTTGTCCTCATATTCGCTTTATAAACTTTTAGGCCACGTGCTCCGTAGGTGAATAGAGCAGTCGAGCACACTTGGGACGGCCATCGTACCCCACATACTGCATTATAGCTACGTCAATATACCAAATGCTAAGTTTAATTACAAAACTTGTATAATTATATATAAGTACATCAAAAACATGTACTCCATTATATCATACAAATGAAGACGTTATTAACAAACTGTTTTATAGTGTCCAGACTACATTTTCAAGTACAATACAGTATAAAAAAGTTTGAAATTTCGTGCAATGAACACTGTTGAAGTTTTCGTTCAATATAACTGATTATGTTTTAAATAGAAAATAATACATACATTGGTATTATTCCTTACAAATCTTTCTTACGAATTTTCATGCGGAATCATTAATAAGTAAATAGTTTATTCCTCTAATATATTTCAAAAATTAAGCCTCAACATAAATAAAACAGGACATTTCAACCAACGTACATAATACAAGGGACTCTTTATCATTCTACATAGCAAAGGATCTCGGTAATTGAATGTAATTTACACTAACAAATCGTAAAGTACTTAACATAAAATAGAACAGAATAAATCCCTAGAATTTGGTTTGCTACTTATTAAGCAGTAAGACATAAAGCTGAAATATAAGTACTTGAAGTAAATAAAGCACTCACCTCATTCTTGAGGTTGATGGGCTCTTGCTGCGGCCGGGGCGGCGAGTGCCGACCCCCCTCCGCACTTTCCAGCATATCAGCCTCGCATCCCGACTCGTCTGTCAACAATAGAACACTTCGTTAGTATATAAATATACACAAATGTATATATATGTGTACACAAAAAATTAAAAGTTATTATTATGACTGTTAAACTTTATAATTAATCTACTCTGATATAGATTCAAAAAACACAACATACAAGTCAAAATTCCACATAAAAGCGTCCTAAAAGTATTCCTCCATAATATTTCAAACTTTAGGCTTTGAGACAAAAGAAATAAGAGACACAAATACGACCCCACGCAAAAAAGCGGATCTATCGTCGTGCTACATAGAAAGCATCTTTTTCTATTTTAATATACATACGAGTATATATATAATTTTAAAATTGATAATTTTGATATATGTATTTAGTGTAGACCAAAGATACCAAAATTATCAATTTTAACATATACTTATTATCGCATATCTAAGTTCATTTTTACTCGTATTGATTTTTATACGTCTTTTAACCTGTAAAACGTATTCAAAGAAGAAGGTCAACGATTAATAAAAGCTCAAACGAAAAACTTTCCATTCATTCACCCTCCCCGAGCTTATCGAAAAGTACGTACGTAACACATCGTACCCCACGTAGTAGGTACGCGTCTTGCCGTATCAAAAGAACGCGTGTCGTCGACCTACCTCAACGTGTAGCGCAAATGTAGGTCAAGTTGGGAAAACTCCTTTGTCTGGCGTCTCGCGCGCCTTGAGTGTAGGTCCACCTTTATTGTTTAGTTCTTATGGATGCGGCTTGTTTTTAGACTGTTTAATTTATTGTACAAATTTTACAATTTCAAATAGGTATTCATAACATGACACGTTGAACAACCATCTGTACAGTACAGACACATCTGTTTGTACAATAACTTACGTTAGGAAGATGAAAAGTATTTTAAGTCCATCTTCGTATAAAAATGTTATTACATAATAAAATAATTTTCAATGACAAACAGATATGATCTCTATGTTTTATTACATTAGTAATAATTAGAATTTGAAAGGTTTGCGAGAACTCATAGCACAGGTTTTCTTTTTCTAATTGCCATCTATCGTATAGTCTGATTTTTTTCCTACTTTCTTACTGTAGATATTATGCATGTTAGATCATCATCACGGAAATAAAAAATATATTATTATTCTTATAGTAAATATATAAATTCATTATTTTATTTGAGACTTTGATTTGTTTTATTATTTAATACAATTTAATATTTTTGTCTACTATCGAGTTCTTAGGTTTTCGCGATTAAGAAAGAAATTAAGTATTTTTTAAATCTAAACAGCCGTGACCATTTTTGTTCGTAAAAACATATATACGTCCTTTTTGCCTAATTTAATTTTCAATTTAATCTATTATTTTTCTTTATTATGCCTTTATCCTATTTTCACATTTTTTGTTACGTATTAACAAGGTATTATGTAATGTAAATTCATTGTGTACTTATACGCTTAATGTTTACTAAAATGCAAAAATGCATTGTATATACTTTGCAGGCTGATTTCATATCAAATTTTCATCTTCATATTCACACACTGGCTTTTACCGATTCTTTAAGTACCTAATGCATCCACATTGATACCTTTGATAAGAATTTTGAAATAAATAGGAATTTACTACCTACCTACTTACGCTCTCTCAACAGACCTACGGAATGAACCAGCGGACATTACGAATTTTTCTATATGCTTATTGCAGATTTTTGTTTTTTGGTTTTTGAAGATATTTTTTGTAGTAGTGCCATCTGTGAGAAATTTCACAAAATAATAATTGGATATCATGATAGTAAAACATGGTTTCTTATTTTAATTTTTCAGCCAGTATTGTCCCACTGCAGGGTTTTCTTTCTCCACTCATAGCGATTTAATGTCATTACCGACCAAGATCTGACATAAGAATCTAACACGTCACGCAATCTCCTTCTGAGTCTTCCACGTCTCAGTCTTGCATTTGGTGACATCCACTCCACGGTGACTTTTGCCGACAGCTCGCTTGACATGCGGCAGTGTGTCCAGCCCAGTTCCGTTTAAGGTTTACGGCTTTTTGACCAATGTTAACGATTTATGATATGTAACTTAATATTATATTAACTGATTTCATAAAGTCTGGACTATAATAATAATAATAACATGTCAAACAACCACACTAATTTCCAAGTCACAAAGCAGGAAATTCTCTTCACACTTATAAACTTTCGCTTTGCATTGCACTAACATTTGAAAAAGAGAATAAACGCGTTTAGATACTAATAGGCATTATATTTATAGTCTATATTTTTCAAAATATAGATAATAATGATTTTGAAAAATATAGCGAGATAGTGAAATAGTTAGGTCTGATAATACTCATTAATCTCTAAACGCGTTTATTCCAGTTTTCTAATGTTAGGAAATACTCTGTAAGTACTATGTACCAGATCAACAAAATTTACTCCAAGCACTTTCCAGAACACCTGCAAGTGGCTTGGAAATTGGAAAATAGACTGTACGTGTACGGTAGCAAAGTACTGAATAACTGAAGTTTATCTACTGTAAATAAATTGAACACTTTCTCCGAATCAAATGCTTGTAATTATCCTTATTAAGAGATCAAGATACCAATTAAATAGTTTCTCTAAATCGCTCAAGTCAACATTACGCGAACTGTTTTAATATAATTTAAAGCAAATTTACTCCAACGTTTTCAATAACATTAAACAGATTAGACGACTTTCATTGGAATATTGAATTTAAACGTGTGTTTGAGATTTAAATAATATACTTTGACTACTGAATATACTTAATAACAATACTGACAGCTGATCTCTCCAAATGAAAAAAAGTTTTGCTCCAATCGCCGTGGTTTGCAAGCAGGTCGACAACTGTAGCAAAGATGTTATCTAATACAAAGGGAGACAGTTCTAAATATAGTCTCGCATAGAGAATCTCGCTCTTTATTTCGCTCTTACCCTTCAAAACCAGAACGCAGTAATGCTCACGTTACTACTTGGCGGCAGAAATAGGTAAGATGGCAGTACTTCCCTGGACCAACTCTTTCACAAGGAGCTCTTCAGCTACTAATCCAGGAATCAAGGCCAGATCCTTCTCAACCAACGCCCACAGTATAAGCCGTTGGGCCACCGATGACGCCATAGAGTGATATCCATATAAAATATCCTGTCCTTCAAAAATTGCATAAAGTTGGACCATTTGTGTGAAAATTTACGAGTTTTTAAGCCAATGTAATTTTGAAACTATATGATTTAATACAGAACTGACAAACACGGCATTAATTAACTAAACGATATTAATTTTGGTTTGTGTCTATAAAATGGTCTATGATTAGTTAATATTAAAATTAAATAATAAAGACTTGTAATCAGGACAGTCCTCTTAAGGAACTGCAAAAAAATATCAATGACATAACATATTCGATGATAATTCTCATTCTAAATACAATCACGTATAGCTGAAACCTAACTTTCAAAGATCAATTATTTCGGTTATTGGTATTTTCGAACATACGTACGTCAGTAACATAAGTTGCCAAGCGAAACTGGACGTTAACGCCTTCGAGAACTAAGACACCGCCGATCATTGTTCTGCAAATAGCTTGGGCAGAGCTAAGCAACACGGCCCGCTGCCAAAACCTACCCGTCGAATATGATTGCTCCTAATGCGAACGATCGGGGGGAACTAGAGAACCCACTACTCTTGCACGTTGGCAAAACTTTCCAAAACGTTCTGAAATATGCTTTTTAAAGGTACACTTCGAGTGGATAGTTAAGTCAATCGTTATTTAAGTTGGGTATGTGATCATACCCCAGGAAAAAGATCTTATATGTGGACGCATCACTAATAACTAAAGCAGTTTTCAAATTGGGTAATCCCGCCTTTGAAATGAATAATAATCTCTCCTTTTTGAAGTGACCTAGAACTCAGCCAACCCGAGCGCGTCACTAATAGCCGCCATCAAGTGTGCAGGTGTTAGGACACCCAGAGCATGATGTAAAATGGGCCATCGTTTGAATCGTAGAGCACAAACAATCCCTGTTAGATGCATCCGAAAATACCCACTGAACTAAAATGCTATAGAATATAATATATTTCTATAAAAAAACAAAACAACAATTTACGGACATCTTTAATTCATTCTGCATTCTGTTCCTAACAGACGTGTTAAACAGAAAAAAAGATGATTGCAAAGGAAGATGTAAAATGATTACACAAAAAGATCAACAACACACTAGACTTCGTTAACCTTGTCCAGTCCATTTATCGGGACTGTCTTTCGAATGCAGGACAAAGGGCGTCCCTAGTGCCTAGGTTTGAGGTGGGGGGGTTGCGTCGCGCCGTGTTTCTGACCGAACAGTAAGTCTGGCTTAATCCTATCGGAAACGCGGCCCCCATTGAAGATCGACCAAGGCTTTATACAGTGTAACATGTGATGATAGGTTTAAAGATTTCGAAGAATATTTCTCCTTTCAGGAAATAAATTTCGGAGTTACAGAGATGTAAACAAATTGTTCTTCCAATACACGTAATAGAATGGAACTATCAGTATACTATTGTTTATTAAAGACGTTTTAAAATTGCATTTTCTATTAGGATTGGAAGTGAGAACATAACAACCGTCAATCGTTTGTGCGTCACAATATGCTTGTATATTTTAAAAAACTGACAAGTGTTTTGCCATTTGAAATGAACGTTTTGCTGGCTACCAATTACACGTCCACAATAATTCAAATTGTGTAAACATAATCTGTGTAATCCGTAAACTTATCCGTGGACATATCTGCAGTTTGTACGCCTGGTGCATTGGACTATGCATCTAGGCGGCCGGCTAGGGGGGGACATTACAAATTAATAGCACAAAGACCGACCGCAGATCGGCTGCGAAAATTTACAGGCCCCAGACACTTATAGTGCATTGCGGGCGATAAAGGCTGTAGAGCTTGTATTTAACTACGTATTTTGAGTGTCCATGAAATTGAACAATTTAAAATATTCTCAAATAGTAAGTAAGTAAGTCGTTACT